TTTAAATGATTTTATTTGTAAGAGGTAAAAGGGGTTAGTGTCCAAATAAAGATAGTATTTTTAGAGGACAGGGAGTGATTAATTAAGACGAAAAAATTGAGACTTTAGAGGTGGGCTCAAAGGAGGAGTCTTTATAGACAACATGAAGATATTCTTAATAGAGCAGTTGAAGGTAGTCTCTATAGGCAATATGAAGGAAGTTTTCTAGGCTAGCTGAAAGGAGACTTTATAGACGAGCTGAAAGGAGTCTTTATATACGAGCTGAAAGGAGTCTTTATAGACGAGCTGAAGGTAATTTTCATAGACGAATCAAAGGGGTATTTTTAGAGGAGGTGAATTGAGCCTATATAAACGAGCTTAAGTCAATCTTTAAAATTGAATGCAGTTTTTATAGGCGAGCTGAAGGAAATGCTTGTAGGAGTGCTGAAGGGAGTCTTTGTAGATGAGCTGAAGGGAGTTTTTATATACGAGATGAAGGATGTCTTTATAGACAAGCTAGAAGATAATCTATACAGACGGACTTGAACTTGTTCCAGAGAAGGTATCCCTATTTACTTATTAAAAACAAAAGTCCTCACCATCCATAAACAATTCAAAAAAATGATTGAAACTCACGCACACTTACCCATAGAGATAACGAGTAATAAATGTTTGCCTAATATCACATTTCAATGTCACAGCATATCCTTAACCTATTCGATTGTAACCTGCTTACCCACATATTAAAGTATATAATTTAAAAAAAAAAGTTGAAGCAAAAACAACGCAACAACTTTGTTCATATGCATAAATTTACTGAGTCTATATTTTTTGTGTTTACACATTGTTGTGACGGTTTTTGTGAGGGCTTTGCCTTACAACTTTGTTCCCAAGCCGCCCTGTTTTTCGTTTCAAAAAATCCACATATCTCTCTGGGACAACAAAGCTTTACATTATTCTTTTCATTTTTGGAACAGAAAAAAACAAAGGAATAAAGTAAAGTTTTGCTTAATTTGCATTTTATTATTTTTTAGGTATTTCCCCAATGCCAGGCCATGAGTTTTACTTTATGAAATACAATTTTGTTGTCGTTGTTTGGCGAACTACACACATTCCTGTATATATTTCGCATACTTTGCAGAAAATCAAAACACCCCCCTACCGACCATAAATGTCGGTATATATATTACAATTGATGCTGTCTCATTGTTGTTACTTTCAGCATTAGTTTAAATTATTTGTTTTTATTTTTCCGGTGACATGATAGCAACACACAAAAAAGAGGTTTGCAAATTTTTCCATTTTTGGTTCCTTTTTATGTGACACAGAAAAATTCCATAACAAATTTTGTTACGAGTGTGTGTGTCTTTGTATTTTTCGGGCATTTGAACAAACATTTGTCATCATAGAAACCTACATACATCCACGTTGAAAACAATATTTCCTATTCTTTTGCTATCTCTCAATGTTGACCCTGTGGACATGCTCTATCATTCACACAAACACAAGCATAACCTAACAACGTGCAATTTTTTGTTAATAATTTATTTTAACAAACAAAAAAACTCACCAGTGCGTTGAACAATATAAACACAACCTTTGAAGGCAACTTGCTATACGATATATGTTAGGGACCCTAGCACAAAATTGCAAAGCAAATATGTTTTCCTTTTTTTCGGGAAAAGTGTTGAAATTTTTAAAATGAAATTTTGTTCCTGATTGAATTGCGATAAAAAAAAACCCGTAAACTTTGAATATGTGGAATATGATTGTGCATATTATAAATGGTGTATTGTAATTTTTGTGATAATGCACGTGCTTGGGTAAAAACGTAACAAATTGCGTTCGTGAAAGATTTTTTTAAGTTGTAAGTAAAAGAAAGTGGTTTCTGCGGGAGTCCTTGATTTTATTTAATTCGATAAACAAAGTTCAACTTAAAGACAACTTAAGGGAGTCTTTAAAGTGTCTCTGTAGTCGAGCTGAAGGTATTGGACGCTCTGAAGGGAGTCCTTTTTTGGACGAACTTAAGGGGATTATATTAGACGAGCTGCAGAGAGACCTATGTAGATCTACTGGGAAAGTTTTAATAAGCGATCTGAAGGGTGCCTATATAGACGAGCGGAAGCAAGTCGTTATGTAGGAGTTGAAGGGAATTGTTATAGATAACTAGAAATGATTCTTTGTAGATGAACTAAAGGGAATCATTAGAGACTAGCTGCAAGGAGTCCTTTATCGATGGACTGAATGGGGTGGTTATAAACAAGCTAGAGAAAGTCTTTATATAGGCGAGTTGGGGATGTTTTGAAGGCCAGCTGAAGGTAGTTGGATGAAGTCTCAATATACATTCTGAATCGTAACTTCATAAACATGCTGCAGGGAGTCCTTTATGGACAAGCTGAGGGGAATCATTATGGACAAAATTCAAGGAGTCCTATATAGATTTGCGGAAGGGGCTCGTCATAGACGAGTTGAAGGGAGTCTTTGGACTGAATGGGATGGTTATAAACAAGCCACAGAGAGTTGTATACAGGCGAGTTGGGGATGTTTTAAGGCCAGCTGAAGGGAGTATACATAGGTGAGCAGAAGGGAAGTGAAAGACAAGGTGAAGCACGATTTTTTATAGATAAGTTGAAAGGAGTATTTACAGACAAGCTGAGCTGCATCCATATACTTAGTGAGGCTATGAAGGTCTATAGTGGACCTGAATGCAGTCTATAGACGTTTTCCTTGAAACGGTCAAAAGGTAAATGTTCAAAGAATATTGATTGAAGGTCTATTAGAAGCCTTAGTTGGAATTTGTGAATAGTTTTTGAAGGACTAACAAGTACAACAGTTTGGATTGTAATGAATTTATATATATGTAATGAATTTCTGAAATAATATATACAGTCACGGCGGCATACATGGATTTAAAAAAATTTTTTTGAAGGACTGTCATGACGATAAGCGTGGATTTTTAAAGAATATTTTTGGAGGACTATCATGGCCACACGCGTGGACTTTAATGAATATGTTTTTGAAGGACTGTCATGGCCATAAGTGTGGATTTTTAAAGAATATTTTTCAGAGTCTCTTAAAGCCATAACAGTGAATTTTTAAAGAATATTTTTTAAAAGACTCTTATGGCCATAAGCGTGGACTTTTAAGGAATATTTTTTTAAGAACTGCCATGACAGCTTGGATTTTAAAATAATATTTTTGAAAGACTTTAATGGCCATAAGCGTGGATTTTTAAACAACATTTTTTCAAGGGCTGTCATGGCCATAGGCGAGAATTTTTAAAGAATATTTTTGGAGGACTGTCATGGCCAAAGCGTAGACTTTAATGAATATTTGTTGGAGGACTATCATGGAAGCGTGGAATTTTAAAGAATATTTTTTCAAGGGAAGTGTGGAATTTTAAAGAATATTTATTTAAGAATATCATGGCAATAATCGAGGATTTGTAAAGAATATTTATTCGGCGATATTATGGCTTTAAGTGTGTATTTTTAAAGAGTATTTTTTGAGGAATGTCGTGAATTTTTAAAGAATATTTGTTCGATGACTGTAATAGCCATAAGCTTGAATTTAAAAAAAAACACATTGTTCATTTTGAACATTTTTTAAAGATTTTTTGAGAACACCTTTTTAAGGACTATCACGTCTATAGCGAACACGTAAATTGTTAAGGGATTTGTAAGGAAAAAAATTTAAGGGCCATGTACTTATACTTTCTAACTATGTTTGGGGATTGGCATGACGTAAACGTAGAATATTTTTCGAAGAATGACCAAAGCTACAAATCTGACGTTTTTTACTAATATGTGTATTGAATGTTTATCATAAACATTATTTGGCCTGATAAATCTTAATATCAGGCCAAATAAAATGCTCTATTAGCTTTCATATATGTTCCAAAATATTTTTTAAATTGTTGAGATTATAAAATTCCACTTCGAACTGACTCTCTTAAAATGTTCGCCGTTGAAATAATTTATATACTATAGATTCTATAGATTTTGCGTTCGTGAATGTGATATAATTATTTATATTTCGTGGGAAGAAACCTCAACTTGGGTGCGTATAAATAATATTCGACTTGCTAGTACATCACTCATACGCACAAAGACCCACTCTAACATTATATATTCCCTGCTTTATGTATTTACATATTCTAAAGTTTAATAATTTCGCGCGTGAATTTATTGATTTTCTTGCTTTCAAATATAAAATTGCAACATATTCATTTTTTTATTGTTATATCTATTTATATTATGGAATATTTTATATAACATTTTTCTTATAACATTTTTCAGACTGGAGTTCATTTTCATTTATTGCACTTACATTCAGACGTCTTCATTTTAATATTGAAGTAAAAAAAAAACAAAACGAAACACAACTTAAATACCAATGACAAGGCGACAAACAATAAAATTTAAATATTTCATAATAGATTTATCTCGGCATCATCAGCGGTACTGGTGATAGCTACCAACTTTCACGTCTCATGGCATGTTTGTTGCTGACGAAGGCATTCATGATGATGACGTTATCGGTGATGAGGACCATGATGATGATGTTGTATCTTATTTTTCTTAAGAGTTTCATTTTTTTCTCCGCCGAGAAACAAATTTATGTTCAAAGTCTTTATAAACAATAAATTTATGATTTCATATCTAACGATGACAACTTTATCGCCATGCAAAGATGTAGAAAAAGAACGGGAGAAATCTAAAAAACCATGCCGCATTTCATACATTTTTTCCATCCTTTGTTACTTTATATCTTTCTCTCCAAAGAATACATAACATATATAAATAGAAAGAAAATATATGAAAAAAACACACTGACAAGTAACGCCGAAAATTGTTAACATTTACAAGGGTCTTAGTATGAGTTTAAAGTGAAAAATTTCGCCGATAAAACTTTTGTGCAAAACTTTTCGGCATTTTTTTCTTCCGTTTCCCGATTTTCTTTTTTTCTTTCGTTGTGAGTGCTTGTGTGTATTTGTATTTATTTATTACATTTGTACTTACACATAACATTAAGCATTAACGTATCCTCCAAGGCAGAGTTTTGTAAACGTGGATTTGAGCCTTCACACTTGAGTAAAGTACCATCATCTTCTGGTTGCGGATTAAAGGTAAGCGTTGATATCACTTTGCCATTTATTTGGTTAGTTGATAACTGAAAACAAAAGAAGATAACAGAAAGGAAATGAGGAAAAATTTAAAAATTAAATTTAAACATTTTATACTTAGATATTTTTTCAAGGTTTATCATGGCCTTAGGCGTAGATTTTTAAAGAATGTTTCCAAAAGGGGTTTCATGGCCTAGGCGTGGATTTCTAAAGAACATTTCTAGAAGGTTTATAATGGCCTTAGGCGTGGATTTTTAAAGACAATTTCTAGAAGGTTTACCATGGCCCTAGGCGTGGATTTTTAAATAATATTTCTAGAAGGTTTATCATGGCCTTAGTCGTAGATTTTTAAAGAATATTTCTAGAGGGTTTATTATGGCCTTAGACGTGGATTTTTAAAGAATATTTCTAAAAAATTTATCAAGGCCTTAGGCGTGGATTTTTAAAGAATATTTCTAGAAGGTTTATCATGACCTTAGGCGTGGATTTTTAAAGAATATTTCTAGAAGACTTATCATGGCCTTAGGTATGGATTTTTAAAGAATATTTCTAGAAGGTTTATCATGACCTTAGGCGTGGATTTTTAAAGAATATTTCTAGAAGACTTATCATGGCCTTAGGCGTGGATTTAAATAAAAAAACATTTGTAGAAGGTTTATCATGGCCTTAGGCCTGGCTTTTTAACCAATATTTCTAGAAGGTTTATGATGGCCTTAGGCGTGGTTTTTTAAAGAATATTTCTAGAAGATTTATCATGGCCTTATGCGTGGATTTTTAAAGAATATTTCTAGAAGACTTCTCATGACCTTAGGCGTGGATTTTTAAAGAATATTTATAGAAGACTTATCATGGCCCTAGACGTGGATTTTTAAAGAATATTTCTAGAAGACTTATGATGGCCTTAGGCGTGGATTTTTAAAGCTTGGCTTATAGAGAAATAATTCAGGATTTTAAAACAATGTTTTTGAAGGCTTGCAGATGAATTATTCTCGAAAGGACCTACAGATACCTATAGGGAACTACTTGAGCATATTCTTCACGCCTCCTTTACGACTTTGAATTTTATTTTTTTTTTAATTTTTATTTTAATTTATTTTTATGACATAAACCTCATATTGGTTTATATATTTTTTGCCTTCACAGGCTTTCACTTACCGATCCTCTTTTAAATGGTCGATTATTTTGTGTCCATTTTATTTCCGTATCCGGCACAGAACCCTCCACAATACACGTCAAATTATATTGGACTCCGGTGGAAAATACTTTCAGCTTATTCGTTAAGCTAACCGATGTTGGTTTAACTGAAAAAAGAGAAATAGTTTTCAATCCGGGGGAAATATAGGAGGTGATGCAAATGTGGTATACCCATTTGTTTTTAGATTGCCAAATTTTTATTTTTTATCCGATTAAATTGAAATTTTTCACTTAACATGCTACATGTGTTGTCTTCCCATGTATCAATTTGAAAATAATATTATTCTAACAATTTAAGAGATATTTGAGAAAATATTAGAAATTCCATAAAAAGCGATTTTAAAAAAAGTGCAGGTAATGTGGTATACCACATGATGTTAATGTGGTATAGTATAATTTTCACTTCCAATTGATATCTTATATAATTTATTGTTTTTAATGAATGCGAATTAGCTCGAGATTTATGTCTGTTAAGATTTTTAACGGATACGTTGAGTGGAACTTAAATTTTTATTATATAATAATGTCTACACATGTCAATATTTAATTTTTGTATGGAGATGTTGTTAAAACTCATAGCCTTTGTTTTTCATCCTTGTGATTCATTACTCTTAGAGTACAAATGTTTTAGTAATGAGATTTTTTCTAGTGCTGGCCTTTTTCATGCAGAATCAAGGTATACCACATTACCTACACTTGTGTTTACTGAAGAAATGTCTAGTTTTTTTTTCCAAATTGGTGATTATGTGGTGCAATCGCGCATATTATTTGATTTTTAGTTCATACTGATTATTTTAATGCTTTAGTAATAACGATTAAAGTACATCCGTAAAACAAAAAATTATTTTTAAACTTCAACCGAAAAAAAGTCAATTTCATGAAAAATTTTATTTTTGGTACTGATTCTCAACGTGATTTAAATAAATTAAACAGGTCATTGTTATCTTATTTTTTTGAGAACAGCAAACTATAGAACATGTTTTAGTTATTCTAAAATTTTCAGTTTACAAAAAAAGTGACTATACCACATTACCAACCTATACCACATTTGCATCACTTCCACTATTAAAAAGACATTAATTTTTCTTTTGCAAATGTTGGCATGCTTTTTTAAATTAAATCATAATTGTTATCGTTGGTCACATCTAGTGGCGATATAGGACAAAAGAGGACACACACATGTGGTGAGCATGAGGAATGGATTATTTAACTGAATATTAACGCTGAAATTGCCTATAAATGAAAACACGCATAGCGGGGCACTTGTCACGCAATGAATATGGTATATGAGTGAGTATTTCTATAAAGGCAAAGTTTTCAAACTTAACTCAAAATGACTTTAAATTAAAGAAAAAACTAAAAACTGACCATTTCTGCATATCCTAGTCCATCATCATATTGACAATATCCGCAATGTCATATTGTAATCAAATTTTGTGATGGCACATCACCACATCACATCCCATTGTATGTGATGTTCAGACATTCACCGGCCAACCAATCTTCTTATTCAGTTGTATAAAATTCTCTTAGAGATCCATTCGCCGGATTTTTTTTTTTTTTTTTGCCTCTCTGGTTGACAGAAATTTCGTAAAGCTAAAAACAGTACAAAAGTGGTCTACTTACGCAACATATCAATACGTATACTACGCTCCACTGGTGGTACTAATTTCGTATTCGATGCCTGGCAACGGTAGGTGTTGTTCAATGCTGAACGTGTTATGCGTGGCACTTCTAAACGATTGACGGTAACGTGACGTCCCATAGATACACCATTGCCGGATTCCAATTGTTGTGTACCATTCATCCACGTAACTATGGGCTCAGGACGACCTGTAAGTGGGTAGAAGAGCAAAAGAAGGAAGTGGGGGGATGAGTAAAACGAATAATCAATAGTAAATAATGAGATTTTAGTACAAAAGAGCTACCATAGGCAGCTGATATGTATAGAATTTCAAGGTATTGATATATAAGTGATAATTTAATTAGATTTTCAGTACTTATTCATTAATTCATTGAAGACAAATGTATTCAAGAGTACTTTAAAAGATATATTTATTGAAGAAAAGAGAGCGATATTAAACACTGTAAACTACTAATAATATTTATGCAAGTATCTTAGAGACTTCTGAGAGCCGATCTACATGGTAGATTAATAACAGTTTATAAATAAATGCAAATTTTCGTAATTTAAGGTCCAGGTTCCCCATACAAATTTATGGTCACAGTCGTGATATTTTAAAAATATTTTGATGTTTTTGAGTATATTTTAAAGGATTATCAAAGTCACAGATATAGATTTTTGAAGAATATTTTTTTCAAGGATTGTCAAGATCTTAAGAGTTGGTTTTAATAATATTTTTTAAAGCTTTTCACGATCAGATTTTTGAGTGTCAATTATATTTTTTCAAGGTTTTTCATAACCATAGGCGTGGATTTTTAAAAAAATATTTTTTTTCGTATTTCGTATTTTTTTTCGTAGTTTTGATAAACTTTTCGTGATCATAATAATAAGGTTTAATTTTTCAGAATATTTTTCAAGGCTTTCATGACGAGGGTTTAAAATATTTTTGTAGCTTTCAATGACAATAAACCTGAGCTTAAAATATTTTTTTAGGTCTGAAGTTTTTAAAGGATATTTATATTGGGTATAGACGTGGATTTTTGATAAATATATTTTTAACGCTAAACACGATCAGAGGTGTGTGGAAGTTTCTGAAGTTTTTAAAGAATATTTATATTGGGTATAGCCGTGGTTTTTTGAAGAGTATTTTTTTTGGGATTGTCATGATAATAAGTGTAGGTTTTTATGAATATTATTCAATGTTTTTCACGATAAGAGGTGTGGGGTTTTAAGTATTTTTTTTTTTTGAGATATCTTTTCGAGGTTTAAAATAATATATTTTTCAAGGCTTTCCGTGGTCAAAGACGTGGGTTTTTGATGGGCGTGGGTTTTAAAGCATTTGGTTAAGCTTTCCATGAACATAGCCCTTGATTTTTCAGAATATTTTTTCAAGGCTTTCCATAACGACAGACATGGGTTTTTAAGATGTTTTTGAGGCTTTTTTTAGATTGGTTTTCAAGGTTTTACATGATCGTTGGCTTTTAAAAATATTTTGTGGGACATTTTGTATAGCGTACCAAATTCCGCCCAGAATGGCTGTATAGTACATATATTTTTGTACGAGGTTTGTCGGATTAAGACCAAACATCGAGTGTCATATGTCGAAGTCGGTTCAGATTAAGATATAGACTTCATATATATTTACAATCGTTTTCATACAAATTGTACACGAAATACCGAATCCATCCTTTTTATAGCCCACAAAGTATATATGTTCTTGATCAGAATAAAATTCTATGTCGAATTACGCATGTCCTCTTGTTGAAATCACGATAGAGATCGCATTATTTAGGATAGAGCTCTGACATTGTCCCAAGTTTCAGGGTAAGTACTAATAAGTCCCACATTACATGAGGATTAGGCATTCCAGGGATTTTTGACACGTTTTTCCATCGTATTGGCTCTAATGTGATGTTTTGGGTTCTCCAATGTATTTAGGGTATATTTATTGTAAATGATGCACCAAATTCCCAAAGCTAGTCCGATTGCGATGAATTTTGCTTGAGCATACCCTGAAGTGTACTATGTTTTGTTCAATTCAGTTCAGAGTTAAATATAACCACTGTTTATTTTGTCCGTTTTTATGCACCAAATAATAAACTTTTGTCCGGCAGGTATAAAATTATGGACATATATCGATATGGTGTATGTCAAGTTTACTTCAAATAAGTACCGGTGTAGAGGAGAGGGAGAAAGGAAACATACATAGAACTTGTAAGGTCGAATGTCATTTCAATTCTGATTTTATTATTTAAAATTATTCCTTAGGAACTACCTAACCTAATATAACTTAGCCTAATACACATAAGAGATAACATATGCTCATTTGTTTACATTGCTAAATGAGCGCACCAATATCCTTGTGTGTGGGCTGCTATTAATTCTTCATTATCAGCTCACACACACAGAAAACCACATTGAAGTGATCTCTATTTACTCACCCACTGAGCGCATGTTTATGGAGATATCCTTTATTAGCTATGCGTCTTCAGCAGCGTGGTGAGTTGTTATCCCTTATGTGCATACATGCACACACAACTAGATTTTACGACTGCTTACCTATTATTTACGACATATGTACGTGTCTAAAACATCCTTAACTAATACAATCCTTAACTAATACAAACTAAAAAAAAAAACTTTTGGTCCATTTCATACAGACTCCCGATTGACAAGAAAATGTGCATAGATTCCAGAGTGATATGTGTATGGGTTGGGTTCACATATTTAGCTCCGACCGATTTCGTGAGGATTGTCCTTCAAAGATACAATATCTGGTCTATCGACGGGATATTGTACTTAATAACATCTCGTTTATATACGTAATAACATATATTTTATATAGTCGTTCCCGCCTGAGGTTGGAATTTTCTTAATGAATTATTAGCCTCAAAGCACCAATTATTATATTTTTGTAAAAATAAATAAAGGAAAAAAAGTCACATCGCGGTATGAAATATATCAGAGATATTTAATTTGTCCAAAATATGTTTATAAAATAACACATTTAATCAAATTTCATTGCAATAAGGTCTCAAATTTAATAAAAAATCAAATTTTATATTGACATTGTACTGAGTTTCAAATGTATATCACAAGTGTTCTATATTGAAATTTTATTATCGAACGATTTCCAAGAATCCAAATAAAAACTAGTTTTATTTATTTAACAAAACTGAAAAAGGACACGTGAGTTGGTGAGGGATACAAAATTTGTAAAAACATTTGACCTTGTTTAAATTTACTCAAGGTCATTTCCTAAAAAAACTAGTACAAATCAAACATGACGAGAACATTTCCAATTAACGACAACACAAAATATATTGACACATAAAAAACATTTAAAAAAAATCAATTCTTAAATAAATAAAAAGACAAAAAAAAAACAAAACAAATACACAAATGTTAATTTAGGCAAAAATATTGTTTTTGTTGTTGCAAAAGCTAGCAAGCTTCAATTGGCATGAAATCAATTTAAAATCTATAAACAAATAATTTTTTTATATATAAAAACTAAAAACAAAATGGTAATACTTAAATGAAATCAAAATTTAAAATCATAGTTGTGTAGGGTATAAAAACAAAACAAATACACAAATGTTAATTTAGGCAAAAATATAGCAAGCTTCAATTGGCATGAAATCAATTTAAAATCTATAAACAAATAATTTTTTTATATATAAAAACTAAAAACAAAATAGACAGATAGAAAACGTAATACAATAAATCAAAAATAAATTTATGATAAAGCAAATTTTAATTGGTTAGAAAATGTTGCTTTGTAGATTATGGCAAACAAAAACGAACACTACAAAAATAATAATAATTAAAAAAAAATCCGTTTTTAAAGCTACGAGTGTAGATAATCAACATGCTTTTCTTCTTTTATTTTTGTGTATTGAACAAAAAAAAAAAAAAAAAAAAATAAACTTCATGTTGTGTTTGTGGCCAAAAAAGTAGATTATTATGGATATCATTGGCTACAACACACACACACACAAAATATTTGCATAAATAAAATGCACAAAAATTTTAAAGTTATGTATTTTACCAAAAACTGTTTTATGTTTATACAAAAGTAGACAGTCCGGATTGAAATTTTAGTAATGGAATTTTAGTTTAAACAATAATATTTAAAATATATAATATAACTAAACAATAATATTAAATATTATTAAAAAAATTTTAATATTATTTTAAAATAATTTATATAATTATTTAAATTCCTCTTTTATAAAGTGCTACATAATTTCCTTTAACTGTATAATTTTTCTCCCCTTTATTGCCTGATTCAAAACGTACATACTTATCTATATAGTATGTATGTATTTATCCCGGCATGTATCTAATGCAAAACACTGGCCAGAGTACTCGGTACTCGGCACTATGTTAATGGTGTTATTTGCATTTCAGCAAAATATGCAAATAATTTCCGCTTTTTTTTTTTGTGCGAAACAAAAGTGAACAATGTCACAAAAGAATCACAGGAATTGTTAAAATAGCAAATATTAATGGGACAATAGAACATAATCAAACTGAAACTGTGTGCACAAAAAAGGAAACCTTAGAACATTAAAGAAACTTTTTCGCCATGCATATTTTTTTGGTTTTTTTGTATTATAGGCTGAACTTAATAAAGAACATGTAACCATGGGCCGAAAAGTACAACAATAGCATAGCTTTGTAAAGGAATTTCAATAGTTGTTGTAAAGTAAATATACATTTACACAACAAGGATTTTTTTTTTTTAATTGCTGTTCTTAAAGAAGTTTATTAAAAGCTCTCAATAAGTGTAATTATTTTCGATTTTTAAGAAATATTTAAGAATTAAATTAAAATAGAAAAATATAATTTAATGAAAAGTACACTAATTTTAAAGCCCTTGATATTAAATTATTAAATTCTAAAAATTATAAGAAAAAATATATCGAAACATAGCCAAATATTTGGAGCATTTTTACTTCGGAAAATTAACAAAAATAAGGATTCAAGAGTTGGATACTAAATTGAATCCGCAATGTATTACGGATTTAGGTTTCAATAAATATTTTAAACACCATATGTACCATATAATGAAACTATGTATAAGACATATCGATATTTTTTGAACATCGACAAGAACTTCTAATGAGTTTAAAATCTATATTTGTTTCTTGAAAAAAATAAAAAAAATTCTTGTATCAGAAGTTGAAGAAGAAATTGAAGAAAC